ACAGTGTTCTTAGATCCACCAGATCGTGAATCGATCTTTTTTTCGAACTGATTTGTAGCGCAAAATTGTTTTGATAAAAATTCAGTCAAAATCGTCAAAAATCTACTAAATTATTAATCTGATTTGACTGGTTTATCCGATTATTTAACCTTTTTTTTCTTCTTTTCAAACATAATTTGAATTATCTGAATTGTAACTATTTCATATATTAATAGAAATCAGAAAATATCGTTTACTTAATGTAAATGTTAAAATCTTTCACTTTTCTGAATGATATCTAAATCAAGATGTTTTTCATCTCTATGATATTATTAATTTAGCATCAATAATTTCAACTTGCATTATTAATTTGTTTTAATTTAATTTTTTAAGTAGTTTTGGATAATGAACATATTTTAACCATGAATTTACATTTTTATATTCTAATTAGGTGTGTATTTGATTGTAAGTCTAATCTTTTTGAAACATTTTTTATGATTAGTCGAATATAATTAAGAATTTAATTTCAATATTTCTAAAATTTATAAAAATATAAAATAATTATAACATTGTACTGACGTCGGTGAGTTTTTTAGAACAGACCGATCCAATCAATTAACTCCTGATCCAATGATTTAGCCGAGTCACTATCCGATACGAATTTAACAACATTGGGGATCACGAATGCACGAAAGACAGACAGATGGCTCCTAAATCTCCGGTACCCAAAATAGGGCGGTAAAATAATTAAATCCTCTGAGACCAGCATGGCCTTTGGTCAAAGGAACAGTTTCAAAAATCTTTCATTGGCCTCCTCCTAAATTTTAAAAATTTCATTAACCTCTATTGAAATTAACTATGTTATAACATTTCAGCTGAACCAACAATAAAAAAAAGTGATATCATAAAAGAGAAAGATAAATATTATTTTACCATTGCCCCTCATCTATTGTATTAATTAGTTAATCTAATACAAAAAGTAATGACTATTTTCAAACTAAAATTGATCACATATAGCATAATAGATTACAAACAATGAACATTTTTTTAAGCCTATCAATTATCTACAACATAGACATCTTTTCTATATCTATATTCAGAAGCATCTAAGACGATGCAACTACTAACTAATAAATTAAAGAAAAATACTAGAATTTTTTTATTGATTATCATGGATCATATCACATATAACATCAGAAAAAGGTATATTGTTTTATATTTTTCACTACTGTTAGGCCCATTGTTAAGATTCAAAAAAGATCAATCACAAATAATTAAAAAAATTGCAAGAAAAACACTACAGAAACCAAACTATAACATCACAAAAATTTCAACAACTAACCTTAAAATGTTGACAAAAAACACGATTTTGAGGACCCCATGGTAGGAATTATATTCTCCTCTTTAGCACCCTTTCTCTAGTGGTATATTTGTAATAATGTGTTTCATAATTACTGTTAATTCAGTTTAATAATGGTTAACTATGACTTACCTAATTATGTTAGCATAATTGTGTAATATCCAAAAGGTTGTGAGGCTTGCAAAGTCATTTTGTTGTTAATGATGTCAGCTTTGCGCCCCAAAATTCTAACAGGGGAGATCAGTGTAATTTTTGAAAAACTTAAAATGAGGCTAGTGAGATAATTAGAAACCTCATAAGATATTTTTAAATTTTTCCCTTAGCCAAATGATAAGCACACCAAGGTGGAAAGGGATTGAAGGAATATGGAATGTGTTTGGATAATGGTTTATTTGCAAAAAAAAAAAAATTTAATTGCATCATAACACGTTTTTAACAATATTTTATTTTTGCAATCATCGTTTTATCTTAAATATAAAAGTGTTATAGTACGTTATTTAACTTTGAGGCTTAAGTTGTCACAGGCTATAAAAGAATAGTAGTATGATCCACTCCTACGGTATTAATATTAACTAGTGCTTAAGGTGCACTCTAACGTGCGTGGAATTAACAAAAAAATATATTTATCACAATTATCTATTTATTAAGCTTTTTTAATGAATTTTATGAGTCAAATTTCATTATAATGTAGATAATCATACACAAAACGAAGATTCTCGAATTAGCATGAGAAAGTTGTAGTTAGATGATAATTAAATAGATAACTACATTTTGATTCAAATAATTATCTATAATTGAGATAAATTTGCCCTTATAATTAAGGATATATTAAAAATTTTAAAAAATAACACGGTGTGTTACACCATACAATAATTGAATGACGCTCTTCCTTTATATATTGTATAAATAAGAGTTATATTGTATATATAAGAGTTAATGGAAAAAGGAGATAAAGATAAATTTAAAAATAATAAAGTTAATATCAAATCAACTACTTACACGGTCTTTATTATTGTATAGATATATATTAGTAAATATGATCTCTGGCATTGAATGACGAGACCCGCCCACTATTTATGACGGGAATTAATATCAGCCACCCAGGGGAATAGAGAATACGGAATCTACCAGTATGCCATGTACTTTGAGTCTTTGACTAAGCTCACAACTCATATTGGCTCCTTTCTCTTTTGGGTAAAGGTCCAATTCAACTGGAACTCGTTTCCTTTGTCTGGATCACTTTCAACTCCGTCTCCGTCCTAGAACCGGGATCGCAATCCAAATCGCCTTTTGTCTGTCTGTCTGTCTGCTCAGCGGTCCGTGGACTATCCCCCTTTCCTGAATTTTAACCAAAGGATATTTGCAACCCCGGTTGAATTATAAGCCGCTATTCCGATCCCTTAGTGTTATCATTTGACCAAAAGAAAAAAGCAAAACCAAAGAATATCAGTTTACGTTGCTGCTGACGAACCAACTCTTTTTCTTTTTTGACCAAAAGAGCAGACGAACCAACTATTTTAGCAGATAACTACAAGGGTCACCAGAAGTAGGGTATTGAACAGGACTCAAACGGTGCCGGACAAGGGGCACAGACGGTTGCACCTGCAACCGTCCCCAACGATTTTAACCATTTTCAATAGCGCGTAACTTTGGTTGCACACAGCGTAACTTTATTTGCAACACGTGTAATTTTAGTATAAAACTTTGTGAATCCCACACACGGTGTAAAAATTAATGCACAACTTGTAATTTGGACCGCACAATTTGTTGAGGCCAAATCATGACCATTAACAGCTCAGGATGACCGCTCCTGCCCCGTTTCCAACGGTGCCAACATCATTTCCCCCAAGGAAGCAGTAACAACGTAGACATACTATAGGAGTAGCAGCAGGAGGTCTCTCCCACCATCCCCTTCCACAAGACCCATGTTGTAATAGAATAGGATTTTTTTTTTTTTAAAAAAGGCAGATAATAATAATGATTTTTCACAAAAAGTTAAATGACCACAAATTTAAATGTCAATCCCAAAATCCAGAATCTCTCCGCAGAGACATCCCCTAAGCTTTCTGTCATTCATAAATTTCACAATTCTTCTAAGACCTATATCCACATCATGGATTAACTGTTAGGAAGTTTGACGTTTGTTGCCAACTACAGAGAATTTCTTAGGCTGTACAGCATTCATTTGGCGGAAGAACGAGGCAAAGCAAATATACAGACTTGCCTGGGATACTCTTCGCGCCCAGACTTTACAAGTCAACGCATACAATACAAAACAAAAGAAAGCAAAAGAAGTCACTGAAGAACCCATTTCCCGTTAGCTACTTGACTCCATTACAGCCAAACCAGGAGTTCCTGCAACATAATTCAGAAAATTTAACATGTACGGGAAAAAAACTTTGGAAGGATAAAGCATGCGAGATGAAAAAAACTTGTCTGCATAAGAACTCATAGTCAAATGTCATAAATGTGGAGCAAATATGGGACAATACTATTGCCGGGTCACATGTATCAAAGCATGTATGAACCAAGTGAAAATTCCACCAGAAGATGCACAAAACACCACAAACAAATCATCTTTCTTTGCAGAAAGTAATGAAGTGGGAGTCAATTTTTCAATTCCATGCTTCCATTAGCAAAATCCATATTTGCCAAAGCAAAATAAGCATGACAAGGCAGTATTCCTAAACAAACAGTGAAAGGAAGCCTGACAGTAAGAGATAGAACCTGGAACCAAGCAAAAGAGTATATTGCTTCCCATATCATATACTAATCCTCTATATGTAGCATATTATTCAAGAAAGCTGCCAAACCAGAAAATTGTTGCCTATATCATGCTTCATTTATTTAGGAAATGATGCAATCCACATCGCACCAAAGGCTTACTACTCCAGTTTCTACAACTTATGTACTGATAGCCTACTCCTATCTGATCACCTTTTGGTGACCACGGCCCTCAGAGGGAAGACCAACATGATTAGATGATAGTGTCTGTCTTATAAATCCATAAAATAAGATCACAAATTAGGGTGAAAAAGCTGATTTGATAAATAAGCCATCATGGTCTGGCACTCTATGCCATAAGTCTCAACCAGTAAAAATGAGAGAAAGAGTTAAAAATGTGCCAATTTCTCAACAATTGCATAATTTAGAACCAAGGATACCTATTCTTCTTTTTCTATTTCATTTTCAAGTTAGTAGTCAAAATACAAAAAGGAAAGAGGAGACTGATTTGCACAAATCTGGTAAGTAAATGCACATACATTTGAGAGCAGCTCACTGGAAGCAATGACTATATTGCAGTGGGCAGTTTTCCATATAATGGATGAGGGTGGACATATTTAATACAGAAAATACAGGGTGAAGTACAACTTTTGGCCTCTATCCCACCCAACCCAATCCAACTTATGCTTGCAAGTATATAGTACCCATGGACTTGTATAAATATTAATGCCAGATTAAGGAACATACCATAAGGTATTGCAACATCTAAAAAGCCAGTAGAACATAATTTTTAACAATGATTCGAAATATCAGATTATGTTCAAGACATTTATACATAGAACCTGGGGCAGCAGAAGTAGAGGGGAAGGGATAAGAATTGAGTGAAGAAGAGAAACACATTGAGGTCAGGAGGTTGGGGATTGGGGATTACCATCTCTAGTCAGTACGAAGAAGGATTTTATTACTTGCTAGTTATGAACGTACATTCACATACACAAGAAGTAGATGAATCAATGGTAGTACTGGTCACACCTTCATAAAAAACTAAAAATATACAAGTCCTCCACAATCTGGAACACTATTCTACCTCAGGTATGTTGTGCTGTTGGAAAGATGTTTGATGTGCTACTATTCAATCTGTAAGCTCCATCATACTGCAGGATCCTCAGTTTTCCTTCCTGAGTTCACAAGGCAGTTAAACCTTGTAAGTCAAAACCAAACCACCCAAAGAAAGGAAATTCTCGGTGTTCCAAATGACACACCTTGGTTCCATAAACAAGACCTCCTCCCACAGAAGGATGAAAACAAGCTACATTGACCTCATCTTGAGCACTAGGAAGCACGCTAACAAGTTCCAGATCTGAGACCCTGTAGACCTGATCCCAAAGTGCCAAAGATAAACTTTTAAGAAAAACCACCTGTAAATAACCAACTTCAATTCACAAAAGAGTCAGAGAAATCAATAGCGCTGTACTGATACATGTAACATGTTTCTCAGCTATACAACCAAGAAATGACTTTTTAAGGCCAAACAATAATCAACTGTACCTCTAAAACTGTATAAACTGGCAGTGAGACTTCTCCATTCATCACAATGCTTTTCAGAAGAGAACTATGACGGCGACCATACGCGAGCAATATGTGTTCCGACGTGGGTGAGAACTGCAAAGTAAACAATAAGAAGGCTCAATTTACAAGTATATTTTGCCACTGCCAACCCCACCCTTTACTGGAATCAAAGTATAGTATGCTAAACATTAGGAATCTTATGATAACGATACAATTTTAAAAGCCTGCAATTAAAATGATGAAGTGAATCAGGAGTACAAATACTTGATGTGTTTTAACATGAAATACACGCTATTAAGTACACCTGAATGATAAAAGAAGATCAATTTGCTTCTTTAATTCAACTGTAAAAAACTTACCTGGATGGAAGTCAAACAATGAGCAGCCCTAACCACCCTAGATACTAGCACTGAACCAAAACTACAGCATGTAAAAGTAACAAATACAATAAGTGAACAAAAATTGATACACGTCAAGAAGTTAAAGAAACTAAAGGGTAGAAGCTTTACGTTGACTCCTTGAGGGAGTAAATACGAAGCTCATACAAAACTTGGTGTGCTAAGGATGAGTGTCTAGTTGGAGATAATCCATCCGCTCCAATGTCTTGGTTAAGTTGTGATACAGAACTAGGTTCAGCGTCTACCTTAGGAAGTACACATGCAACACATGCAGCAAGATACCTCCCACAAGGTGAAAAATGGGCTCCCATCTCACTGAAATCACAATTTGTAACTCTATGAACCATGTGATCAATGACACAAAATGGAGGGAAAAAAAACTAATCAAGACATCAAAAGAAAAAAGGCACCCTTTTACTGACCCTCTTAAGTTTTCATTTTGGTCTTCTTCCAAATAAATGATCTCATAACTGCTAACTTTCCCTTAAAATTACAGATGCACACAAGAAATGGATCATATGGTGAAGCAATGTTAAATCCTGCCAACCCCACCCCAAAAGAAATTGTGTTGAATAGAATTATGGTCACCCAAATATGATAAATGAACAAGTCAGCGAGTCACAGTGAGTAAAATAAGAGAGCAAAGACGGTCCAAGTTTGGCAAGTTCATGCACCTGCAAAGAACTGCATGCGGTATGGTTAAGCGGCACTTGTCAGTATCTAGAGGGGCACATGGGTTTTTTATATCATGCAACCATAATCTCAGCTTAACTGTACATGGCAACTCAGCACCAACTGTGGTGGACAATGAGGCAGAAAGTTCAGACGGTATTACACCCAAAATAGGAATGGAATCAACTCTCTGAAGCGAATTCAGAATCCTATTCTCAGTAAGCTGTGGCTGTTGCTGTAAACCAGAACTTTCTGCTTCCACAGATCTGCTCATAATAGATGGCAAAACTCTGTTACACGTAAAAGAGTTGGACGTCAATGAGACATCATGTATTCCAGGATAGCCCACTGGATGCATATGACTGCTCACAGGAAGTCTAGGATGTATCCCAGCTTGACTTTGACCTATCAACCATCCTTGAAGAAAAGGTAAATCCCAAGGTGATGATTGTCTTGAAGGTAAAGAACCATTTTGACCAAATCTCGATGACTCCACCTGTCTAGGTATTGGAATGGGAAGCTCAAGAGTATGAGAAATTGATGGCAAGGGCCTAACTCCAGGACCAGGTGTCTCCTGGTCAGATGGGCCCCTGGGGTGGTACCCCTCTATATGCTGCATTTCAGATGTGTCCATAGCATCTACAGCAGTCCCAGAGATAGAATTTTGCTCCCTGTAAGCAAAAGAACTAATCAATCTATCTTGCAATCCAGTATGTGTGGTGGAAGTGGTTGCATACATATCCACTGGGAAAGCTCTCTGATCATTTTGCTCCACTAATCTTGCATTTATCTGAATCTGCATTAAAGCAGATGATCAGCTTGATTGTGATTTAAAGAACTTGAGCCATTATAGGAATGAAAACATGTCCTTACATCATCAATTGCAGATGAAGATGGATATGGGTTAAAAGAAGGTACAAGAGACAGTTCAGCAGCCACATTAAGAAGATTCCGTGAATTGATGTTTGCCATATGTAGAGAAGGGGGAGGGTACTGCAAACAGCTCAGAGACGTTGCCCTCGACATTGAGGAATTTGAAGAATCTAGATCATTGACCTGCGTATTCGTCCAACAGAGCAATTGACAAGACAGAAGAGGTACACAACCCAATAAACTCAATCAAGCATCAAACCTCAGCGGTCAAAAGCAATGGGGCAGCATGAGGATGAAAATGCACAGCACGAAGTGACCGTCTTGTCTTCAATAAAATTGTTGGTGATGAGTTCTCTCCACTTCCATTGTAGTTCCATAGATACAGCTGATTTAAAGATTGAATGTCAACTAAAAAACGACTAAAAACCACGAGATACATAAAATTTATGAGGGCAAATAAACTACAAAGTGTCAATCAACACCTTGTGACCTGATGCCACAGCAAGGAGTTCCCCTTCAGCATGGAAAGCAAGAGAAGCAATAGGACGGTCTGGAAAAGGGTAAAAACCGCAATGAGGGAAAAAGAAAGTTTTAAGAGAGATTTCTGAGTCTACATGTAGGAAATAGATACAACAACAATTCAAGCAGTTGTTAGGTATTCTTGTTTTTCCTATTTCATGAGGACAAGGTTGGGATCAGATGGAAGAATTACAGAAATCACGATATCCTATGCATTCTGATGTGTTTGCATTCCATACATGCACTTCATGATCTAAGCTTCCACTTGCAAGTATTTCATGATCCTTCGGATGAAATCTAACCTGCAAAGGCTCCATTAGCACAAAATGAAAAGGACAAAAGGACAGTTTGTTGATCTGCAGATGATCACTCAGCACAGTAAGAAAATCATGCATAAAATTTCTTTTTGACTAAAAGTAAGACAGTAGTAGACATACAAATTGCAATGTAATCTAAGGAAACATTAAGATGAGGCACTTGCAAGTCCCTTTTAACATAACTAAATCCAAATAATGAATATCACTAGCATTACCGCATCATCATAACTAGGCTAGCATTCTATTCACAAGAAGAAGAGGACAACACAGCGTATCATACCACCCAAGGTGTTCGTCGATGACCCCTCAGCACCTTCAGACAGTATCCACTTTCAGAGTCAATTATCTTTACCGTGTGATCCCCACTGCATGACCAAATCCAGACGAAATGATTACAATGCCAAGCAGGTGATAATCAAAGAAAGCAACAAGAAATAATAGCATACTGTGTAGAAGCAAGACTTTTCCCATCTGGACTAAATGCAGTAGCAATAGTAGACCTAGGAGGAGGCACCAGCGAACAATATTTGGCCGATAAATGCTCCAAAGACTCCGCCTCCACCCTGAAACAATAGATTACATCGTAGCCTCAGAAGATAGTTACAATTCTACTGCAATATGTATAGAATTTTCGAGCTATACGAATCCAAAATACATAATAGACGAAACTTGTATTAAGAGCAGAAGCAATGTCAATACCAAGAGGAAAGGCCACGTCTAGCATCTCTCTTGGCTTCACTCCGGATCCCAAACGGAGAATAGCAATTTTGCTTAGGAGCCTCTCCCCAGTGCTTCTTCGGCAAGCATTTTGTTCGTGGACATATTTCTCTTCTTGCTAACAAACGAAATACATTTCCAGCACTTAGGACACATAAATGAAAGAGACATGCTAAATATACCTGAAAAGATGAAGTATACAGGGTCTCTTCATCTTTTTTTTTTTGGTGTGCAGCAGCAGTTTGATGAGCCCAATAGGGTTTTGAGTATTAAAAAAATCTCTGCTTGTCTTTTAGATGACCGGAGCATTCATCTTGAAGAGAGAAAATTTACATCTGCTTTCTTACCCTTGACATGTCTAATGCTTGTTCCCGCTCGTGTATATGAACGACAAAACCTATACTTGTCTTGGAGTTGATTAATTGCAGTTATTATGTTAAAAATCACTAAATGGTCTTTGAGATTGATTCCTGAGCCTTTGTATGGTAATTTATGCATGCGTTTGAAATTCTTCTTTAGGATCTGGTTGGACAGATTAGGTAACCATGCGTTTGACCTGTTTTAGTCATGGTAGCTGGTAAATTGAATATGAACTCGCATTAGCTTCAGCCAATTTAGTTCTCCAAGTGGTAGAGATTTTCTTATGCATTTGAATATTTGTTTCTGTCTCAGGAATGGGATCAATGCTATCAAGTAGCCCAGCAAGCTCCACATCAACATCCATCCTATCTGCCATGCCAGCTTCTATTCTTTCTGTTAAAACATTTTCGCTTGTTGAGCTTGAGAGGGCTACAGAGAAGTTCAGTCCCAAGAGGATTTTAGGTGAAGGTGGGTTTGGACGTGTCTACCATGGGCTCTTGGAAGATGGAACTGATGTAGCGGTGAAATTGCTTACAAGAGATATTCAGAATGGAGACCGTGAATTTATATCTGAAGTTGAGATGCTCAGCCGATTGCATCATCGTAACCTTGTGAAGTTGATTGGTATATGCATTGAAGAACGGGTACGATGCTTGGTTTATGAGCTTGTACCAAATGGCAGTGTTGAGTCCCACTTACATGGTACATAATTCTTCCTTTCAATTTCTATTACTTTAAAAAAAATTTCTCATGCTTATATCAAGATCTATATTGCTACAAAACGCTCCACTTTATTATTTTCAAACTCATACAAATAATTGTCAGTAATACGATCCATCTAATTTGTGAATATCCATGCAACATTTCAGGTGTGGACAAGCAAAAAGGGCCTCTAGATTGGGATGCGAGGCTGAAGATTGCTCTGGGTGCTGCTAGGGGATTAGCTTATCTTCATGAGGACTCTAATCCTCGAGTAATTCATCGAGATTTTAAAGCAAGTAATGTTTTATTAGAAGATGACTTTACCCCCAAAGTTTCAGATTTTGGGTTGGCCAGAGAAGCAACAGAAGGAAGCCATCACATTTCTACTCGAGTCATGGGAACTTTTGGGTATGTACTGCATCTTGTAATGCGGCTGTGGAGTTGCAGCTGTCTTGTCTTTCCTTGCTTAGTGGTTAACCGTCTATAATTTGAATTCCAGGTATGTAGCCCCTGAATATGCAATGACAGGGCATTTGCTTGTGAAAAGTGATGTTTATAGTTATGGGGTTGTGCTACTAGAGCTTCTCTCGGGAAGAAAACCTGTGGACATGTCCCAACCTCCGGGACAAGAAAATCTCGTGACTTGGGCGAGGCCTCTACTTACCAGCAGAGAAGGTTTAGAGCAGCTGGTGGATCCTTCCTTGGCTGGAAGCTACAACTTTGATGACATGGCTAAGGTGGCTGCCATTGCCTCCATGTGCGTTCACCCAGAGGTAACTCACAGACCATTTATGGGAGAAGTAGTGCAGGCACTGAAGCTCATATACAATGATGATACAGACGGGACATGCGGGGATGGTTGTAGTCAGAGAGACTCTTCTGTGCCAGACTCTGATTTCAAAGGTGATCTTGTCCCTTCCGAAAGTAGTTGGTGGAATGCTGCGGGAGTTACTCCGAGGTTGACTTACGGACAGGCATCCTCCTTCATAACGATGGATTACAGTTCAGGTCCACTTGAAGAGATGGAAAACAGGCCGTTTTCAGCTTCAAGTCTGGCTGGAGGGGTAGCACTGCCCATCAAGCATGGGAACAGGTCAGGTCCATTGAGGACCGTCCGCAGTAAAAAAGCGTTTTATAGATTAAAGGGGAGTATGAGCGAGCATGGACTGCTTTCGAGGCGTACTTGGAATGACGGTCCTAGCGGTTATGAAGCTTCATTTTAGGCCATTTTTTCTTTTCTTTTTTTAAGTGTACAGTAATGAAGGGCCATTTGTATTGAGAAAATAGGTTTCTTCGGTGGTGTAGGATCGTAGTTGTGAGCTCTTTTATTTGCGTAGAGAAAATGAGAGAATATTCTGACCTCTAATTTTGATAATCTTAAAATATTCACAATACAATGGAGATGCAGGTCGGGTACGTCATCTTGTATATTGATCAATCAATTTTACCCGCCTATGGTTCGATTACGGGATTGAACAGATAGTAGTACTAGTTTTCATCTCAATGAATGAATGTGGGGATGGCGCAGTGCTCGGTGGGTAAAAAGTCAAACCACCGCCGGAACGGGAAAGATTTGGAGCATTTTTTGCGTCATAGTATTCCTCAAAATATTCTTCTTGATTTTGTGCTGTGCACCAAACAGAAAAATGATTTACTAATTCTTTTTTCTTTGTTTTTTCTCCGAAACGATAGGAAATGATTTGCTAACAATTGTCGCGGTCCTTTTTGTACTCGTACAATATGACATGATAATATGTAGCCCAGTAATTATAACACTCGCGTTTTTTTATTTTGTTTATGTTTGACTAACGAAATAATTAATGTCCCAAACGATAACGGAATAATAATATACCAGTCGTTGTAAGTGGATGGAGCGCAGCGGACAAAGAGATAAACTAATCTCATCCTGGTTGCGGGATACATATCTGCCCAAGTGGCCATAGAAAAAGTAGCAATGGCGTCACCATCATTGCACTCGCTTCCTGGTGGATTGACGGATGCAACTAAGTCATTATTGTATTCCTGCTCCAATCTCCTACCAACTCCTCCTCATTCGTCTCCACCGCGCTCCAATTCTTCTCACATCACTCGCTCTCCCAGGTACCTTGCTCTTTCTTATACTACTTCACAAAATTTTTTTTTTCGCTTCTTCGAATTGTTACGCGTCGTCGTCTGCGGCATTGCTATCGGCTTGTGTTTGTTTACAGCAGAAATTTGTGTGACAGGAAGACGATGTCAACTTCAGCTCAAGCTTCCTCATCGCTTCCACCTCTCCCCGAAGATCGCATCGTTGTTGGTCTTTTTCCTTTATCTACTTGCATTATTTTATTTTTTTACACTGATAACAGCGTACTTATGCAGCTAGGTTGCGGAGCAGTGTCGGTGGATTTCTTGGCTGCTGTGGCCTCTTACCCCAATCCGGACGACAAGACTCGTAGCACCAGCGCTAAGGTTTCTCTTTCTATTATATACTAATCGTCTATTTATTCTGCTACACTATGCCAATCGTCTATTTATTATTTTCTTTTCTTTTTTTTTTTAAAGAAGAAGAAGAAGAAGAAAAATCTTTTACATATGAAATTACTCGTGCCAAAATTATTTTGTATACGCTTTCAAAATGTTAAGCATATTGGTTGGTGCTTGCTCCCAAAATGACTGCGTCGGGGCCTTTTCTGATTAGCTGCAAGGAGGGGGAAATGCAGGGAATGCTTTGACTTGTGCTGCTCGATTGGGACTGAAGCCGCGGCTGATATCCAAGGTCTACTTTCAACCTTGTAATTTTTTAACTGAACATTCTCGAGTAATATATATTAGGGGATGTTTATCGCTAGAAATTTCTTGAGTAGGTTGCTGATGACCCGCAAGGAAAAGGGCTAATAGAGGAACTAGAAGCTGATGGCGTTGACACGTCCTTTCTTGTGGTGGGCTTCTTCGGATCTCTGTTAATTCGTGCAAAACTTCCATTTCTTTTACTCGCTCGAGCTTTTCTTTGGCATTTTAATGGTGGACTTCTTTGTTTCTGTTACTCATGTGACCCTCTCTTTGGTGTGTGATTTTGGTATCAGTTTCTCCCATCACAATGCTTCAACCTTTGCTAGAGTTCCAAGGGAAAATATGATTTTACATACATACGCAACCACCTTGACCTGCAATCTCTTCAAATGTGATGAACTCCAAGATGAAGCTACAGAGCATTTAGGAATTAGGAATTTCTGCTTGATGTTTTGGACATCAAATGTGCAAGGTTAATACCTTGTTGATTTAGAATGATGAGCGCCAATGCTTGCTGTCATATGTACAGTTTAACTATATTCTTTGTTTGACCTGATAAACTTACCTTATTGAAACTTGATATATTGTGGCCTCTCGTTGCTAGGAGCAGTCAATCCTCTGTGATAGCACAACCTTCAACTCATCTCAAAGTTGATATAAATTATTGCAAAGTTTGGCTTTGTGAGCTAAATTTTGGTAAAGTGAAGGACAACTTTGACCTGCTTTTGGCTTCTGATGCTATTTCAATTTTGTGGTTTCTATATTTTTGTAACTAAAAATATTAGGGGAAGGGTAGTTACCCAACTCAAAGGCCAGGCTGGCCACAAGCCCTATCCGTGCTTTAATGGTATTTACAGGTCGCCTACCAACAAAAGACTGCTCCCATGGATATTTGGACCTAACAAACCTTGCTTGCTGAATATGACTTTCTGATAGATTACTCATTAGCCAAAGTGCAGCTAGTCCCAGATTTTCTTTTACGTGGGTTAAAGTCAACAACTAGTTTCCTGTGTTTTGCTTTCCACAAGGTCATGGTGGGTGTTTGATAGCACTACTATCAACTTTTTCTTTGATGTATGAAATGTACTGTATAGGAGGTGGTTCCCCTTATCTTTTTCCAGTTACTCTTCTCTTAATCTGTAACGTTTTACAATGTTCACTTAATTTTGTATTGGTATATTTTTTTCAGGTATCAGAAGGAGGCAATTCTCCATTCACTTATATCATTGTCGACAACCAAACGTGAGTATTCTGCAATATATTAATGATTTTGTTGCACAAATAGGAGTAATTTACTTAGGATGGTTCTGTTTATCTGCTTCTTCACTGGATGTCAATGGTTTGCTCATTTGTTGTGAATGATCTTTCATTATGTATATCTCTCTAAAGCCCGGATATTACTTATGTTTGGCAACACTGTGTACTTTTACCTGCCTTTAGTTGTTAACTGAAGCTAGCAAAATTTTGATTACTCCTTGTTTAACATTTCCTGGGCTAAGTGCTAGACTTTAATTTGGTGAAGTATATGGTTTTTGTTTTCTCGTTTTCTCATCTCTGTTATTTTTAGACTATTGATTACTCTGAATGAATGCAAGAAGAATGGCGGCAGGGTTTCAGAAAACAAAAGAAAGGCAGTTTAAAGATGCAAGCTTTTTCGCTTCCATCTTTCGTTTAAGATTTTCATGTGAAGTACTTGAAATCTAGAGTTTTCTTGGCTGTGTTAAATAGATTGCTTCGTTTTATTAACTTGGAGTTTTATTTCTTGAAATATTTCAGGAAAACTCGCACTTGCATTCATACTCCAGGGTTCCCGCCCATGATACCTGATGATCTTTCAACTTCTAACTTGTTAGCTGCTATTAGTAGAGCAAGGCTTGTATATTTTGATGGAAGATTACACGAAACTGCTTTGCTTGTTGCACGGGAGGTAATCTTCAAGTGTTTGCATTACTTTCGTCTAAGGCTAATTTTCTGCTCTATACAATTTTAGGAACTCATACTTACTGCACTATTGTATGTGAGCGTTGATACTTTCAGAGGTAGCTGGTATTGTTGAAACTTTTGCAAAGTGAAAATGACAGAATGCTTTCTGATTTTCCAGTACAGGCAAATCGCAGGGCAATTCCTATCTTAATTGATGCAGAAAGGAAGAGGGAGGGATTAGATGATCTCTTAAGTTTGTCTAGTTACGTTGTATGCTCAGCAAAATTTCCACAGGCAAGTTTAGGCTTCATAAAAGCTGCTTAAATAGTAATCCTTTTGAACTGCTGCATGTCTTTCTATTTATAACTCTAGCATTGCTACCCTAGTTTTTCTAGGTTGTTAATTAGAGGAGTTATGGTTTTTTCATAAATTGGACTTTTTGGGATCATAGCAAAAGTTTGTTTATACTTGGTTGGTAGCTGGTAGACCATTGCAGCAGATGTGAATTATTGACAAAAGAAGTTGTACTCTTTTCATTGGATTAAAACAAGGAGACTGCAAAGGGTGGCAATAATGTCTGCTTTGTTTCTGGATTTTTGAAGTATGCCATGTGAAATACTGAATTAACTTGATGTTCATTAATCAGGCTTGATTTTAAACAATTTGTATCTGTGAATTAGATTCCAGTCCATCAATTCTTTTATATTGTGCAAGCTTTCTGATTACAATCTGTAGGATCATCATTCTTCGATTCTAATCCTTGCTGGAACTGCTTTGGAAAAGATTCACCTTCGATTGCATTGGATCATCAGTTTCATATTTTGTCTTTTTTTCTCTGTCGTTGCCTTTTTCCTTTCCCTGTTTGAGGAGTTATTTGCAAATATCTTACATCTTTCCTTGCAGGAGTGGACTGAGGCGCCATCTATCCCAAGTGCCCTTGTTTCTTTTCTTTTGAGGTTGACTAATGTCAAATTTGTCATTGTGACATTAGGCAAAGAGGGATGTATAATGCTGGAGAGGGGCATGACTGGTATGCACATGCAACCTCTTTTCCCCCACTCTTGAATGAACTACTATGTGTGTATAGACATCTTCAAGATCATGATTGGATATGTGGATCAGATCTCTTTCAATTTGCTTCAATTTACCTCACTTTCTGTTTGTCAAAAAATGTTTCTGCAGAAAATGCCCAGTCTGAAGAAACAGATATAGATGATTTATGTGATATACTGAAGAAGAAAAAAGATAGTAATAGCAACTCGCCAACATGTATATCCTCGGTAATTTCTTTTCATCCTTGAAGGTTTCGGCAGTAGTGTAGCTGAAATATATGAATTTCATTTATTCTGCATTGAGTTTCACATGGCAATCATTTTAAAACTATTTGAACTGGATCGAATTAAGCACAAACTATATTTTATGACACTTAAATCCGGGTGTTGATGATCATAATTCATTAACAATGCTGAATTTTGAGTTGGATGCTGTGTGTGTTCATTTTCTTGTCTGGGCAGTCTTTTGGAAGTAGCAGCATGCTCAATTCTGTGTAAATTTTATGAGGAACTTACTGCTGAGAAGTTCTTTAGACACATGCATATACGATAGTGGTGTGTTGTATAAATGAAAGATCTGGCCGAAGTATGGAACATGCAGAAATTAATACCTTTGTAAGAGGAAAATACAATATTTAGGTGGCATGTGGCCTTTTTTCTTGGAAGATGAAATCTCATGACTTCAAGTTAACCTGTTATTTTTGGAAAGAGCTTTCTTCTTTACCTTGCTGCAGA